CTTTCAGTGGCCGGGGTTTTATTCTTCTGGCCCCTGGTGGGTGGTTTGATCATTTGCAGCTGGCACCTTCTTTCCTAGCTTCCAAAGGGATGCAGATGATCAGTCACAATGACATAGCTGAAGATATGATGACCAAATCACTCATCAGAAGATGTAGAAATGACGACGTTTCGATTCAGGACGGACTGAAACCTTGTCAGTCTTTTTTCTTCGGGCCCTACACATCAGTGATCGCCAGTTTCTTGATACTGAAATTTCTTTTATTTAAAAGTCTTTCTCTTACCTTGGATATCCCTAAAATTTATCAGCTGTGCATATTCTCAAGCTAAACAAAATTTATCTCATTCCAAACCTGTTTCTAAAGCTAGTAACACTGCTGTGCCTTCCTTTCATATCTGAACTAAAAAATCTTACTAATACCTTTTGTCCTCTTGACGTAAAACTCGTCTTTCGGCAAACTAACACACTTCGTAGTAATCTGGTTCACACTGCTGCTCCTGCTTCCTATGCTGCTGGTGTCTATTCTATTTCCTGTTTGTCTTGTCCTCTCCAATACTTTGGTAAAACTGATTGTACACTAAATGACTGACTTAAGGAACACAAAAGACGTTTTTAGTCTACAGATACAAACTATACTCTTTTTGTGTCATGTTAGGAACTCTAATCATTCTATAGATTGGTCTCCTAAAATCTTTCCTGCCTCTACTTTTCACAGACGCCGTCTTGCTGACTCGGCTCTGATACACAACGTGCCCAACATGAACCATTGTCATGACTTTGTTGTTGTTGACTCTTTCCTTTTCCAGTACATACAGTGGTACCTTCGTTTACGAATTTAATCCATTTCCAGAGATGGCTTGTAACCCGAAACAAATTTTCCCATAAGAAATAATGTAAATTGAATTAATCCATTCCACACTCTCAAAAATATTAACTTCAAAATACATTTCATACATAATAAACACAAATAAACATACTATATTTTGTACTATAGTATGTAGAAGTTATAGCATACCTTTATTGATGACTCTTGTTGGCATATGGAAGACGGTGAGGAGAGGGGGGGGGATGAGAGAAGTGTGTTTGTAAGGAGGATCCCCTTCATTATAATATCAGACAGTGATGACTTCTCTGGGGTACTCTCTCTTCCCTACGTTTTTCCTGCATACCACTAGGATCATACCACTGTGGCTCAATGCTTGTTTGCCTCACTAAGAACCTTTCCATAGACTTGTTTTTCCTCTACAATCATCCTCACATGTGTTTTCATAGGTTGAATCTTACCACTACTTTCTTGGAACCCATGGCATGGTATATAATAATTACTTTTATGTTTAGAATCCAAAAAAAGGTGAAAAACAATGAAATTCTTTACAAAGAATTTAAGCACAATCATCACTATGCCGGAGGCACTGTCAAACTGATGTCCATTCGCCCGTTCCACCAGGAACCACATGCTCATTCGACCCATACGTGTATCAACAAACTCGGAACTCGAGGCAAGGCTCGTGAACCAAATCAAATTTTACTCAAAAAATTTATAAATAAGGGCATTCGTAAGCCGAGGTTCCACTGTTCTTATATGGTCCAACTTTCTTAACAAATGTGACATGATTTAAGGCCCCTCCTTTTTTTACCTCTTTTCTTTTTCTTAGCTTTCCTCTTATCTCTTATTCTTACCTTTCATCCCATTCTTACCTTTCATCATATTCTTACCTTTCATCTTACACTCACCCTTTTCTCTTACCTGCTCCTCGCCTCACTCTTACCTTATTTATTTGCCCGTACTTTACTCTTTCCTATCACACAGCTTGATGATGACCCAGGACAGACTGGAACATCATTATTTCTCCGTCTTCTGATGTTTGGGTTGGTCATCGATGGTTTAGCTGGGAGTGCATCACGTGCTGTGGCCGGTGGTGGCTCCACGCCTTTACCTTCGTGCTTCTGATTGTACCTTGATGGATGTGGGTTGACCCTGTCATCTTGGCACCCGGTTCCAAGGCTCGCCTTTCTCAAGTTGTCTGCCATGTTAAGTATAGGCAGCCTGTGGTCTACCCTCATGCACATGATGTTAGGAAGTACAGTATGCCACTCTCTTAGCAGTGTTCTGGGCTGATATTTTGGTGTAGAGGTTTTGGAGGTCAAACAGAGTTCTAGCAACCCGGTCTCTTGTTAATGTTGTTGGGCCTCGGCGCTCTTCTGTGGCTTTGAGCCGTGCGTCTCAGCCTTTTTGTCACTTCTTTTGATTCCTGTGATGCTCTGTCCTTCCTGGTAAGTGCCTGTTTCTTTTCCTTCACCATTGGTAGTTATCTTTAGAGAAGGAGGGAAAGAATTATCAAGGCAAAGCACCAAGCCATTATGACTATACGAGTATATAGCACTTGGAAGGGGTCAGGATAAGGATTTGGGACGAGACAAGGGAAAGGAAGAGTGCCCAACCATTTGGACAGTCGGAGATTGAACACCAACCTGAAACGAAGAAATACCATTGTTCAAGTATCCAGGGCACCTTTTCTGGGGTGAGCCACAAGGGGCTCCCTCCAGAAAACCAGCGTTGAATGTAATAAAATGACAATTTCTGGGTGAGGTCTAGTGGCACCCTTTCACCCTCCCTCCCTCCCTTCAGGTCATCAGGGGCGGAGATGCCAGCTGACCACGTGCTGCCTCCTTCTCCCCCTCAAAACAAGTGAAGGGAGGTGGATCGAACAAGCAAGTGAGAAGAATTCGATCGCTTGTTTACATAGTTGGGGGAGTTCTTTCTGTGGTTTTAGAGGCTGCGGTCTCGATTGAAGCCAGTTGTGGCCTACTTTGACTTGCTGATTTTCTGGTTGCTTCCTCGCTGGTGACATACATTAATACTGTACAAGGGTACCTTGGTTTAAGAGTTTAATCTGTTCCTGGAGACGGCTCGTAACCCGAAAACTCATAAACCGAAGCTAATTTCCCCATAAGAAATAATGGGGAAATGAATTAATCCGTCCCTGACTTCTAAAAAACCTCACTTCAAACTAAATTTTATACGTAATTCATCGAAATCTACACTACAAAACTATGTTCAAGTTATTACTTACCCTTGCTGATGACTGCTGTTGACGTATGGAAGATGGTGAGGAGGGGGGGGGGGAGGAGGAGAGGTGTTACTGTTTGGAAGGGGAGTCCCTTTCCATTACAACATCAGGCAGTGAGGACTTCTCTGGTATGCACTCTCTGGCACGTTTTGCCTGCATACAACTAGGACCTGCTTGTGGCTCACTGCTTGCTTGTCTTACTAAGAATCTGTCTAAAGACACTTGTTTTTAGCGGCGATCGCCGTGCCACCACGCGCTAGTCGGCACGTACGCATATCGGCACCCTCGTATCCTGAGGCAACCCTCGTATCCCGCTACAAGTTTTCAGAGCAAATCCTGCTCGTAACCCAAAAAACTTGTAACCAGGGGCACTCGTAAGCCGAGGTACCACTGTACATGTGAATGCTCCTTGCACCTCTGTGAGGTGGGGGGCCAGGTTCTGGTACTGGTCCCCAGTAGGTCAGAAGAACTCTGTGGCTGATGTGACCTAGTAGATGTTACACTATCAGTATACGATAGCTTCAAGGAGCCACCAGGGATCACCCAGAAAATGGCGTTGCATCACATTCAATGCTAGATTTTGGGGGGCACACTATACTAGTGTCAGATATGTAACAGGTGTGCAGTGCAGGGGTTAAAGCTCTGGTTTTGTTGGCCTACACTTTTGTTCGTTGAATGAGGAATTTCGTGCTCAATCCTGGAGGCATGGGCTTTGTTCTTTCAGTCCTGGTAGGCGGTTTCTAAATTTGCAGCTTAAGCCTTCTTTTCTATGCAGACGAAGAGTCACAATAACATGACTGAGAGAGATAACTAAATCACACATCGGAAAATGAAGAAACGATGACGTTTTGGTCCATCCGGGACCATTATCAAGGCGTGTAAAAGAAGAGAGGAAGGTTCAGGCAAATAAAAGTTAAAAGAGTGAGGTGAGAAGTAGGTAAGAGAAGGTAAGAATAGGATGCATGCAAGAATAAGATAAGAATGGGATGAATGTTATTATAAGGTAAGAATTGGATGAATGTAAGAATAGGAGAAATGAAAAATAAGGTAATAATAGGGTGAATAAGAAAAACAGGAAGGTAATAGGAAAAGGGAGTAGGAATAAGCAACAGGGGCCAAGCTTAAGTCTGGGCACATTTGTTAAGAAGGTTGGAGCATCTGAGTATGTACTGTGGAAGGGAAGAGTCAACAGCAACAAAGCCAGGACTAAGGTTCATGTTGGGTAGATTGTGTATCAGAGCCAAGTCAACAAGACGGCGTTTGTGAAGAGTAGATGCAGGAAAGACTATTTTAGAAGAAGACCAATCAATAGGATGATTAGTCCCTAACATGACAAAAGAGGGCATTGTTTGTGTCTGCAGACTTGACACTTCTTTTGCGTTCCTTAAGTCTGTCACTAAGTGGATGGCCAGTTTCACCCTTTACCAGGTGCGTCACTTCAGGGGTCTTTCAGCTACAGATTGAGGTTCCGATGACATGGAAGCTGGGAGCTCCCAGTTGTGTTGTCACCTGTTGGTGAGTGAGTTGGTGATGGGACCAGATTCTAGCTCTGTTCCCTGGTAGAAAATTCCGAACACCCAAGGTTGATGTGAATCATCTATGTACTCATCTAATTGTATTATACTTGTCTAATTGTGCTTGCGGGGGTCGAGTTTCGGCTCTTGGGTCCGGCCTCTCAAGTATTAGTCAACTGGTGTACTATTGGGTTCTATCATATCTACATTTGAACTATGCATAGAGTCTGCCTCAGCAAGTCTGCTTCAGGGAGCTACTGACACCCAACCGGAAAGCGGCATTTCATTACAGTCAGTGTCGAGGTTTGTTTATGGAATGATTTGCAGAATAAATAATCTCATTTTTGATGCAAGAAATTTGAATATGAACACTGTTCACATTATTGTACTGTTAACAAAAATTGCAATTTTTCAGATATTCATTGGTTATAATTCCTAGAAACTGGAACCTCTTCAGTGTGAATGTGTTCGTGGCCACTACAGGAATCTACCAGGTGGCTCGCATATTCAAGTAAATACTTATCTCTCTTTATTTGGATCACATTTGCAATAACAAAGCTTCTTGATTAAAGCTCATTGATATTTGGTAATTCATCATCAATGAGTTTTTTATATATTAATTTTAGTATTAAGGACGTTTGTAATCTGATTGAACACTGGATCCACAATGCTTGCAGTACATTGTGTGATCGTAACCAGTTATCATTCATAAGTCTATCAGATGTTGCTTCCATTAGAGGGAAAGATCATCTACAGGCTATCTGTCTCTGTCTTTCTTTATCTTCTTGTCTTTCTCTCTCTTTCTTCTTCCCCCCCCCCCCCCTCTCTTCCTCCTTCTGTTGGTATCTTTATGATTTTTTCTTGCTTTCTGGTTGTGTGTAATTACCTAGGTGTACTGTAGTTACAGGATGAGAGCTACGCTTGTGGTGTTCCATCTTCCCAGTACTCTGTTATATAACATTTTGAAACTACTGATGGTTTTGGCCTCGACAACCTTCTCACATGTTCGAACTGTCTACCACTAAGTTCGCAAAAATGAACTTTCTGATGTTCTTTCAGTAGCTTTGTTTAGTAACTTAAATCTATGACCTTTTGTTCCTGAAGTTCCATGTCGCAGCAATAATTTGTTTTTTGTCAATTCCCATTGGTATTTGGTACGTAGTGATCATATTGCCTCTTTTTCTTCTATATTCCAGCTTTGGCGTATTTAATGCCTCTAACTGTTCCTCATAGCTCTTTGTCTTTCAGTTTTGGAAGCCATTTTCTTGCATGTCTTTGCACCTTTTCTAGTTTGTGCTTCTTGAGATATGGGCACCATACAACCGCTGTGTATTCCAACTTTGGACTCGCAAAGGTCATGAACAATTTCTTTTAATATTTTGCCATCCATGTATTTAAACGCAATTATGAAATTGAAAAGCATAGCATAAGCTCCTCGCACGATGTGCTTTATTTGGTTCTCCGGTGACAGCCTGAGGACCAATAGGAGGCCTATTGCCTCCTATTCTATATTCCATATCATGGCATTTATTGACGTTAAATTTCATTTGCCAGGTGTTGCTCTATGCACTTGTTTTGTCCAGGTCTCCTTGAAGGGCATGACAATCGTCTAAGTTTCTTATCTTCCCTAGTATTTTAACATCATCGGCAAATATGTTCATATAATTCTGTATTCCTTTTGATAGATCATTTATTTAGACAGTGAATATTACTGGTGCAAGAACTGAACCCCTGAGGTACTCCACTAGTGATATTCCTCCAGTCTGATTCATTGCCTCTGATTACTACCCTCATTTCTCAGTCAGAAAATTTTTCATCCATGTCACCTTCCCTGTCACTCCTCCAGTATGTTCCAGTTTCCAGAAAAAACTCTTATGTGGGACTCAGACAAAAGTCCCTTTTTAGGGCCAGATAAATGCAGTCAACCCAACCATCTATTTATTGTAAAGTTTCTGTGGTGGCTCTATCATAGAAACAAAGTAGATTTGTTACACAGGATCTTTCTGATGGAAAACCATACTGTCAGTCTGTTATGACATTTCTCCCCAGGTGTTATACCCATTTGGTGTGTAATTACCTAAGTGTAGTTAAAGGATGAAAGCTACGCTCGTGGTGTCCCGTCTTTCCAGCACTCTTTGTCATATAATGCTTTGAAACTACTGACGGTCTTGGCCTCCACCACCTTCTCACCTAACTTGTTCCAACCGTCTACCACTCTGTTTGCGAAAGTGAATTTTCTTATATTTCTTCGGCATCTGTGTTTAGCTAGTTTATATCTATGACCTCTTGTTCTTAAAGTTCCAGGTCTCAGGAAATCTTCCCTAACGATTTTATCAATTCCTGTTACTATTTTGTATGTAGTGATCTATCTTACCTAGTTACAATACTTACTTAGTTGTGCTTGTGGGGGTTGAGCTTCGGCTCATTGGTCCCGCCTGTATGTGTGTGTGTCTTCTCAAGAAGGAATGTGGATTATATAGCTTGTATGAATAGATTTCATGCACCGATGAATTTGATCTTTGTATATACAGTTCATGTATTTCCTTTCTGTATATTATTCACAATTTTTTTTTCCCCTCAGCTATGAGCGGATGAAGAAACTGAAAGAAGCCTGAGCATTACAAATTGGTATAACGAGTAGTATTCTGTTAACACTGACGTGCGTTTTAAAGTGCTAGTGCTAGCAGGTAAATATACAGTTACTGTACCAGTACTGAATAGAAAACACCACTAATGGCAACACACATTGATTTGTACTGTCTGTATTATATGAGAGAAATGTATATTATTTTTATGCCATATTTAGAAATGTAAATAAAGGTTTAATGTTTGAAATTGGATTTCTTTGTCACTCATGGAATACAGTTTCTTCTTTCAAAGCAAATTTCTCCTGCACTGTATACAATACAAGTTTGTCTTGATATTATATAATTTTCCATAAGAGCACCTTTTTTCTGTGGAAAGCCTCGGAAGCTCCCTGAAGTTATCCTACTGATACAGTGCTATATTAGTTGGGATCATCAGTTGTAGAGTTCTTGTTGTCTACCGGGAACCAGAGCCAGAACCTGGCCCCCCCCCCCCCTCAGAAAGGAACAGAGAGCAATGGCCTTTAAGCACTTTACATTTAAGAAGCACTTTACCAGGGAAGGCACCCAGAAAGGTAGGTGAATCAATACAAACCACTGTCTGGTTGAAAATTGTGACCTACATTCCCACAATAGGAAAAGAACTCCCCCCTGAAAGAAAACAAACAAGAAATGTGTCATCCAACAAGTGCTCCCCATTCATTAGCACAACCCCCCCCCCCCCCAATGCCCGGTTGGACGTTGACTCGGGCTGCAATTTCTTTTCTGGATTTTTCCTTAACGGCTGTTCGTACACTTGTATGCTGGCCTGGAGTTTTACAGGGTAATGGGGCTGCATGCTTCTAGGGTTACCTTCCCCTTATGCTCCGTGAGTACTGCCCTTGCGTGGTCAGGGTTATCTTCCGTGGGGTGTTTGGAATCACTTTCCTTTCGAGGGCTTCCTCACTTAGGGTTGTGCTTGCCCTTGGGGTAAGCCAGGGGTCTTGGGCTATCTGTCTTGCCCCATGTTTGGGGGGGTGTTTGTTGCTGGTGGGGTGCACTGCGGCTGGCACAGCCTGCATTACTATCACGTTGCGGCCGATGTTTCTCTCTGACTGTTAGTTTGCTAGTTGGGGGATTTCTTTTTTTCATTCTGGCGGTTTTGCCTGTTGTTGCAAAGATCTGCTTAGCTTCTTATTAGATTTGCCTAGGATGTCGTGATGGTCCTCCTCTGTTACTTACGAGGTTTCACAGCTGCTACTTGCAGTCTGCCTGCTACAGACAGGGTTTACCAGCTTAGCTGGCCCCATTGCCTGGGGAATAAAATAAAAAAATGTTTATTTAGGTAAGGTACATACATACAAGAAATTTTTACAAAGATTGGTGGACTTATAGATAAGGCTAGTACATACAATGCCTAAAGCCACTATTACGCAAAGCGTTTCGGGCATGGAAAAACTTAAATGACTAAAGCTTAATACTAATTGAGCATAGAGAGTAAAATGAAAACATAGCTGAAAAAGCAGCACAAATACAATTCTGTCGACAAACAGCGCTCTTTAAAAAAAAAAAAACAGACATTGGTTGACAATAGAGGGGTAAGGTAGGTTACAGGGAATTTATTAGGTATAGCTTCGTTTTTATCTTAAACTGGTTGAGAGAGGTACAGTCTTTAGCATGGTTGGGAAGGTCATTCCACATTCTGGGTCCCTTGATTTGTAGAGCATTTCTAGTTTGATTAAGTCGTACTCTAGGAATATCAAAACTGTATTTATTTCTGGTGTGGTGCTCATGGGTTCTGTTACAACCTTCTATGAAGCTTTTGAGGTCAGGATTGGCATTACAGTTTAGCGTTTTATATATGTATAATACACATGAGAGAATGTGCAGTGACTTAATGTCTAACATATTCAGAGATTTGAGTAGGGGTACCGAATGATGTCTGGGGCCAGAGTTGGATATTGTCCTAATAGCAGCTTTGTGTTGAGTAATTAGAGGACGTAAATGATTTTGGGTAGTAGAGCCCCAAGCACAAATACCATAGTTGGGATATGGATAGATAAGGGAGTAATAGAGAGTCACCAGGGCAGGGCGGGGTACATAATATCTGATCTTAGAAAGAATGCCCACAGTTTTTGAAACTTTTCTGGGGGGAGCCCCGTCGGCTCCCCGGAGCTTTACCGGCTGATATGCTAATGTCAGACTTTGGCATCAGTCATGTGTATGGAGTTCTAGGGCCTACCGGGGACCACGAGCAAGAACCTGGCCCCCTCAGAGAGGCAAGGGGAGCAATGGCCTATAGAAACCCCCGTGTGGTTGGAAGCATTCTATGTCTGCCATCGACCGGGTCAAGCATCCAGAAAGGTAAGCATTCCAAAACAAACCCCTATTCTGGTGAAAATTGCTACCTAAAGCCGAACTAGTGGATAGAACTCTTCAACAGAAAACAAGGAAACTAGTATGACGTCATACGTCACCGCGCCGCTGTCTGCGCAGCTCCCCCCTCCCCGGGAGGGGGAAGGGGGAGCCCCAGACCTCCCACGCCGGCTATCCACCCATCAGTTCTTCGGCTGATGCTATAGGCACCGGTTATGTGCTCCGGCTCCAGTGGTTGTTTCAGCACTGTACCTAGAGTGTGGTGTCTGTTTTCTAGGTGGTGCGTGAGCCGGGAGTGTTTCTCCAGTACTCGGGCTGCATGCGCCTAGGGTTCCCTTCCCTAGGTGCCCTGTAAGTACTGCCCTTGGGGCTTGGGGCCACCTTCCACAAGTTCCTTGGGTCCTGCCCCTGCTTGGCCGTTTACTGCTTGGTTTTCGGCCGCTCTTTGTGTGCTCGGGTGTTCTGTCTCCCTTGTTCGCCTTAGAGTAAGGGGCAGTTTTTGCACTGGTGGGGCGCGGGGTACTGTGCAGCTTGTCTTTACCATTCATAGCGGCCGGCTCTGTTCCGCTTGGGTACGCTGTCCTCTTGCGGGGTTTTCTTTTTCTTTTTGTTTATCTACCTGGTGGGGGGGGGGGGGGTCTGCCTTCGTTCTTGCCCCTTGTGTCCCTTGTGTTCTGTGTATTTTCGGGTGGTACCCCTCCTAGGTCCCCGTGAGTGTACACGTCCCGGGGGTTCAGCTCTTAGAAAGTTGTTTGGTAGCTTTGGGTGCCGGTTAGCAGTACCCTGCCTGGGATTACCTGAGCGCGAGTCCTCTTATAGTAAACGCTCGGGACCCTGGGAAACCCCTGGGGGCGCGCGGGTCCGATGGATGTGACCCCAGAGTCCCCCCCTCGCTTCCAGCGAGTTTGAGGGTTGCTCTCACCCTTTGTCTCTGGGTGACTCTCTGTTTTGCCTCCGTCTGCTGCCTGTGGGGTCGGTGACACCTTCGACCCGGAGTCCTGCGAGTTTGGTTGCTCGTTGGGGCTCGGTTACCCGGTTGTGCTGACAAAGCGGGTGCGGGCAGCAGGGGCGTTGCACTTGAGCCTTGGTGGTGGCAACGTTCTCGTGGTTCCTCCCCGGGAGCCCCGGGGCTGCCCCGTTGTAGTTCGTTTTGGGACTTGGGGGTGTTGGTTGCTTCGGTTCTATCCACGCCCCCTTGTCTTTCCCCTGGTTCACCCTTCCTGCCTGCATCCGGTTCCTTACCGTCTGTAGGTTCGGGGCGGGGTTTTTGATGGTGTTGAGACTCGGGCAGTCTCGGGGAATTCCCCTTCCGGGGTAGTGACGGGGGCATTTGAGCCTGTTCCTCCAGCCGTGTTGTATGAGTCTGCCAGTGGGCTCCCTTCCTTAGTGTTTTTCACGGCTGCCCCGGTTTTCTGGTACGGCCGGGGCTTTGGGGGAACGGCTCGGCCCCGGGGCCTGTCGTGTAGGTTCCCGGGGCTGGGGAGGGGCTGACTTGGGGGGCCTTGGCCCCGTTGGGCCCCGTGGGTTTTTTTTTTATCCCCCTCTAGGCGGGGCTTGTGGTTACGCGGAGTGGGGTCTTTCCTCCCCACTCGCCGTACGTGCTGTTGGCCGTCGGCCCCTCCCCGGGCTCAGTTCCTTGGCCTTTGAGTCGGTTGGTTCCGTCCTGTGGGTGGATGTTTCCTCCCACCCCTTTTTGGGACGGTGTTTTCGTCATGTTTCCCCGTTCGATGGGGTTCTGCATGACTTCTGATCTCGGGTGCGCCTGCGCCTTCGTGTGCCTTCGGGACTAGTGTTGGCTTCTGTGTTCTCGAGGGTACGGGAAGGTTTTTCGCTACTTCCCACATTATTGGAACGTCTGTCGGTCCTTGTTCCTGGGCTGTTGCCCTGTTGGGCTACTTGTCGCTCAGTTGGGCTACTTGTCGCTCTGTTGGGCTGCTTGTCGCCCTGTTGGGCTGCTTGTCGCCTGCTGTTGTTGGCTGCTTGTCGCCCTGTTGGGCTGCTTGTCGCCCTGTTGGGCTGCTTGTCGCCCTGTTGGGCTGCTTGTCGCCCGGTTGGGCTGCTTGTCGCCCGGTTGGGCTGCTTGTCGCCCGGTTGGGCTGCTTGTCGCCCGGTTGGGCTGCTTGTCGCCCGGTTGGGCTGCTTGTCGCCCGGTTGGGCTGCTTGTCGCCCGGTTGGGCTGCTTGTCGCCCGGTTGCTTGTCGCCCGGTTGGGTTCCTTTTTGGGCTCTTTGCTTCTTTGGCCGGTTTTATTGTTCCTGCTTCCTCTTTTGGCTACTTTTCTCGTGCAGTAGTCCTGGCTGGCGCCTTCCCACAGAGGGTGTGCGGTTCGGCCAGCGTGTTATGCGCATGCGCCGTGGAGTTTGTTTTGCTCTGGGCGGTGTTTCAGTGCTGGTGTTTTGCGCCCTTTTTGCTACAGTGCTTCGTCTCTCGTTCTTCTCCCTGGTTGCGGTATGTGTCCCTTCGCGCCGGGGGTGTCCTGGTTCCCAGTTGTGGGGAGGCCACCGCGGTTTTCCATGTGTCATGGGTGTAGACCGCCTCCTTCGCCTCTCCCTGCTCTCCTGCGGGTCCGGCAGGGTCCGGCTCTGGCGTCTTCACCTGGCGGTGCTCCCAGGTTCTTCTGGGCGCGATTGCGTCGTGTCAAGTTCGTGCCACCATTCGCCAGTTGGCCGGCCGCTGGATGCTGTGTTGTTTATATACCTGTCTTTATTTAGGTATATTTTTGTACGACTGAGACCGTTCGCACACCAGTGACTGTCCCTTTTTCAACCCTTCCTGTCCCCCTCATGTGCATGTCCAACCCATGCTGGAGTCATTCAGGGGACCCTCCTTTTTTACTGTTGTGAGATGTGGGGGTTGTAGGGTTGGTTCTGTACTCACCTGGTAGGCTCCTGGCTGT